GCTCTGTGGGTGTCCCTGGCTCTTTGCTGCCGGGCAGCTGCTAGGTATCATCAGCTTGGGCATCATAAACAGCCTGCCTGCATCTCTCCCCCTTCTCCAGGGAAGCCTAGTACAGGGGGGGCTTCATCGTGGAGGGGTGCAGGTCGATGCATGAAGAGCGTTTATTCCCTGCAGGGGACCCCCCGGCTAGAGATCTCCAAAGGGCCCAGTCCAAGAGCTGCTGGGGTCCATGGGAGAGGGGAAAGGCTGATGCAGCCATCAGCTGAGCACAGTGTGTGTGGTGGCAGATCTGGATCTGCCTTAGCATAGCTTGAATAGCCATCGCAGCCCCTGCAAAGAGTCACTGCTTCTCCCCCTTTCTTCAGGCCCCAAGCAATGAGTTCATGGTGAAGGACAGGCCCCAGGAAGGCAGCCTTGGCAAGAGGCAGGCCCGCGGGCTTTCCCCAGAGCATCAGACAGGCTTGGGTGCTGGGGCCAGAGGAGGTGTCAGCACTCTCCTTCTGTTGTGCTAATGCTGCAGGGGTTGCGTGACATGAAATGAGTCTGCGAATGAGCTGTTGAGAGAGCCTGGGCAGAGCCTGGCCTCCTTGGTGGCTTTCCGGGAGGCAGTCTGAGCCCCTTGAATGCCAGCCCAGCTCTCATACCAGCCTGGCTCAGATGCCCAGTGCCAGCTCCAAATCCCTGCTCCGCTCACACCAAGCCCCGTGCCTGGATGTGACCCTTCTGCTGCTACTCTGCAGTCTGGCATTGTTTCCTAATTCACACGTGCCACTTCTTTTTCCCCACCAGTGTCCAACCAACTGCCCGCCAGGACCCAAAGGCCCGCAGGGACTGCAGGGCCTGAAGGTAAGGTGACAGTGCTCCAGCTGGGGACCTTTGCATCTAGGAAGCATCAGTTGCTGCTGCTGGAGCTGAAGGGGCAGACTCGAAGACTGCTCTACACAGTCCAGCCACTAGCAGGGAAAAGAGAAACTCTGTCCCAATGGGTCACACTAGTAACACCTGCCCGTGCCCTTCTGTGGAGTCCATGGAGGGAGCTGCTGTGAATGCAGGGGTGACTTGCGCTCCCCACTTTTACTAGCCCTCAAATCCACATTGAAGGATAGCTGCAGTGTCTAAAGGGCTGGGAGGCTTCCTGGTGCCTTTGCCCAGCTCTTTATGTAAAAGAGGCTAGAGCTAAGCTATGAGCAAAGGGCAAACCATGTACCATCAGCCTTGCTGCCTCTGTCACGGAGGATGCTCTGGGCTGCAGCACCGTGTGAACACAGGCATCTCTTAACTGCAGATGCAGGAAAGTGCTTCCCCCCTCTCTTCACTTGTGTGTGCACATGCAGATGACATGTGGTCCATGCCTGGGTGGGTATGTTCCCGCTGGCAGGCCATGGATGTCCCTTGCAGCTGCGGCACTACCGGAGAAGTGGCACTGAATGTGAGACTTAGGAGTGCTTTAATCATTGCTTCTTTTTCCTATAGGGACACAGAGGCCGCCCCGGTGCCCTTGGGGAGTCGGGCAGACAGGGCAGGCCGGTGAGTACAGCTCCTCTGACCAGCTCTTTGGGGCCTTTTGAGTTAGAGATTAGTGCTGCCTATGAGCCAGGTGTCACAGGCAGATGGAGAGGAGTGTAGGGGGCCTGGTGTGGACCTGAGACAGGGGACAGAGAAGAAGGGAGACCAAAGGAAAGGGATGGAGGAGGGGACAATGGATGGAGGGGAAGAGACAGGAAAATGCCAGGTGGGAAACAAGTTGGGGTATGGGAAATACCAGGAGCGGGGGAAGAGGGAGATGGGAGACAGAGGGGCGCCTGCCCTGGGGCTGGCAAGGTGGAGAGGAGGTTAATGGAGCTGACAGTTCCCACAGTCTGCTTTGGGTCTCCTGCTTTTCCCATCGCCGTGTGGTTGGTTGGGCATGGGCTGCTCCACGCCAGCCCCAGAGCCCCCCTGGCGTCCCAGGAAGGTCCCGTGCTGTGGTGGGGAAAAGAGGCCCCTGGGTCTCCGGTCTCTGCCGCCTGCTCCAAAGACCTCCCTGCATTGACATCTCTCCTCGCTCCTGTTTTCTCTCAGGGTCCCAAAGGCGACGTGGGTGTTTCCGGCGAACAAGGCATCCCAGGCCCTCCAGTAACGTATTTATTTCCATTGATTGTTGTCACCGCTTGGTGCTTTTGACATGGACTTCTTGTGGGGAGGGGTCACTGCCACTTAGTCTTCCTCCTGGATGTTCAGGGAGTGGGCTCCACCTGGTCTCCCCGAAGGACCCAGGCATCCCCACAACCTGATCCACCTCCTCATTAGGAGCATGGTTCAGGCCAGGAGCTTGAAAACAAGAGAGAGTATCCTCGTTCCTGGTGGCCAGTTGCTTTAGCTATGGTAGGAGGAGAAAATCTCAAACAATGGACAGACGTCTTGGCCATTGACAGATGATGAGATCTTGAGCGATGCTTGGCCATCTTGGCCATTGACAGGAGGAGGTTGACAAGGGGATCTCCAACAGCCCTGGAGTCCGAGTCTTCTGCTTATACTGAATGCAGTTTGAACAGGGGAGTTTACCTCCCATACTGCCATCCAAACAGCTCAACCCTATGGAGATTGAAGGGTTTTGTCTCTCTGGCCTTCATCTCCTTGCTGGGCCTGCTGCTATAGGCAGGAATGGGAGGCTGAGCAGTACAGCACTGGGTGGAGAGTCGCTCAGGACTCCTACACACATGCTTTATTGCCCCAGACATGCCTTGTCCCTCCCTTGGCCTTACTCCCCCCGCCCATCCACTGTGATGCTGGCTTTCCATTGGGATACATAGATGAGGAATGCTAGATAAGAGCCAAGTGTCATTGCTAGTCCTCCAGTGTCCCACAAGGAGACAGGTTCCTGAACAGCTGCTGCACGGCGATGCCTTCTGTTCACTCCCAGCCTAGGCAGTGGAAGGCTCTGAAGCCAATTCGTCATCCCCCAGGCCATCTGGTTGTGTTCTCCCTTATTAAAAATCAAGAGTCCCTTTAAAAGGCTGTGGGTCCAGTTCAGACCTCACATGGGTTGGTGTCCCTCTGTTCTCTGGGATTAGGCCAGCATAAGAGATCTGCATCAGATCTGCATCGGTAACACAGGTAGCTGTGCATGCTCCAGGTGGTAGTGGTCTTCACGGAAGGCCTCTTCTTCGGATACTTCTTCAAATGAGCTGAAAGGCTGGTACCTCAACACATGGAAGGAGTTCATCCGTTGCCTTCTAGCACATGAATGCAATGTGTTTTTCCATGGGAGGTCTCTGCCTTCCCCCTCTCATCACAAGGGGAGCTAAAAGCAAAATGGGTTTCCAAGCCAGCTGCCAGGAGGTTGCTCGGCGTCCTCAGCTGTCTGCACGCTGCAGCATTTCAGGTCTTCACAGCCAAACTCTCCAGCCACAAAGGCACAAAAACCTGCTCCTTAAATTAAGGGGGAAGCTCTGCAGGGAAGGGGCTATGACACATAGCTGAGCAGTGTGGCACATGGTCCCCTACCAGTGCGTGGCAATAGGGATTCATTTACTTCAGGTGCTTTGGTCCGTACTGGAATGACTCAAAAATAGCATCTGAAAATCCTTTATCTGGTCTTTATTTCCCCAAATCTTTCCTTAGTTCCCCAAGTTCATCCCTTTACCTGTCTTGAGGGGAGGCAAAGGTATGATCCTGGTTATGGTTATAATAACCAAGGCTTTCTGCCTGGGGCAGAGATGTGTGGGCATACGGCACCGATAGATTGGATTTAATACGACAAACGAGTGAACATCAAGAAAAGCTCCATTTTTCCATCTCTACGGAGTGGGATTCTGTTCGGTTGCCATGAAAATGCTTGGAGTCAGTGATTAACCCCTGAGAGGAGAGCCCTGACCTGGGAGCCAGGGCGTCTTGATCCTGACATCAGCTCTCTCTGTGCCTTCAGGCAAGTAGTCCTCAAGTTGCTTCCTGCCTCAGTTTCACTACATACAAAATGGGGCTCATCCTGCCTACCTCCCAGGAAGGATTAATGCCTTTGTGATTATTGAGCGACTTGATGATGAAAAGCAATTAACAGGCCCAAATCCCTTTGAAGCTGGTGGGAGTTTCACATGAGCAAGGATGACAAGCTCTGACTCATGGATGCTGTTACATCGACAGCTGGGAAAGGGCATCGCCAACGGCTGGCAGAGTTTGGGGGGAGCAGCAGGATCTGCAAATGTTTGGGATTTGGCAGGAAGGACGAGTTTCCAATCAGTTTTAGTAATCATCGTCTTGTTGGTGGGAGGAGGGGGGTGGTATTGTCACACAGTCCCATTGCTCCTGGCACGTGGTCTGATGCGGAGAGGTGCCAAATTAATCCTGTGTGTTTTCTCTTTTGCACAGGGTCCTCTGGGACCCAGGGGTTACCCTGGCATGGAGGGTCCGAAAGGCGAGATGGTAAGCACCCGGGGGGACTGGGACCACAGCTCTGCTTGGCTGCATTATGCTCTGCTCCAGCTGGCTTCCTCTGGGTTGGGATAAGGCATTGATGCCAAGGGAGGGCCTGAGAGGTAGAGCGGGGTGAGTGGACGCTGGAGTCAAGCCTCCTTCAGCTCTCAGAAGAGAACGAAGTTTAGTGTCTAGAGCAGCGATTCTCAGCCAGGCTGCCAAGGTACCTTGGGGTGCCTTGAGCTCCTTTCAAGGGTGCCACAGGGTGCCATACAGTGTTAGCACTGTTGGGTGTGCAAGCACGAGTCACAAGATAACCTGGAGATTTCAGCTAGGAATGCAGTGTGAGAAAAACATCTTGCCCTGTTGTGGTCTTTCTGAGTTCTTTGTAAGAGAAAAAATGCTCTTTTATTTCTCTGTAGTCAGAAAATGAGGGAAAGCTAAAACTTGGCATTTCCCAAGGGGTGCCTTCAGTCTAAAAAGGTTGAGACCCACTGGTCGAGAGCAAGCAGATAGGGGGCTGAATTCTCTGACACAGCCCTGCCACAGGCAGCTCGCTTCCCCATGTTGTGCCTCAGTTTTACCACCTGTAAAATGGGGGGTCATGGCATTGATCCATAGCAGAGAGCACGATGCAGCATAAATGTCATCATCATCATCTGGATGCAGCATAATCGTCATCGTCATCATCTAGACAGCATTGTGGCTGTCACTGAACAGCCTCCCATCCACACCCTGATTCTCCCCTCCCCCTTGTGCTCTGTTTGCAGGGACCCAGTGGTTATAAAGGAATGATTGGCTCTATTGGAGCTTCTGGAAAGCCGGTAAGTCCTTTCCCCTCCCTCTTTTGGGGTTGCTGCTGTGAACAGAGGAATGGCGGGGCTGTAAGGGACTTGCTATCTTCGGCCACCACATCCTATGTCACCACTACCCCTACATTAGTCCCTGCTCCTGGGAACATCTGTGCAGCCCAGGTGGAGTGAGGAGAAGTCCCCTACTAACTCCAAAGGGGAAGGCCGTTGGCCTAAAAGACACCCTTGTAGAATTAAAGCGAGACCCCCAGCCTAGATATGCAAGAGCCAGGACATTTCCTAACATCATCAACTCCCCCTGGAGCACCACTTCCTCCCAGGGCAGCTGCAGTCTCCAACCCCCTGAGAAATCTCTGGGTCAAAGCAGTCTCCCAGCTGCACCTTCGCAAGCCCTGGGAAGCCACAGACATGAGTGGAAGCAACATCATCCCTGTCTCTGTGAACGATCCCAAAGCAAATGGCTTGAAATGGGTGGCAACGTGGCCCACTGGAATGGGCACCAGGCTTGGACTCGGCAGATGCGCTCCCAGCTCTGCTGCCTGACCCTGGGCGAGTTTCATGTCTGCCTTGCACTTTGGTTTCTCCTTCTGTATAACGAGGATGAGGATGGTGATCTCCTTTGTAGATCTACTGGTGAAAAGTGCCTATATTAGCACTGAAGGATCCTTAGCAGATATACAGAGCTGGCCCGGATCTCCGCATGGTGTTCATCCCTCCCCTTCAGATTGATCCTGTTCACTGCTGCCATCTACACAGGGTGATGGATGGTGGGAGTCTTCGAATTAAACCCTTCTATATTTCCTTTCTTTTATAGGGTGAGGAGGGACCCAAAGGGCCACCTGGGGGAGCCGGCGAGAAGGGAGATATTGTAAGTGAAGGGTTCCCTTGAAATGGGCTAAGGGGCCTCCTGGGTTAGTGCCTGAGCTGTGTTTTCCTGGGCACTACAATGCCTCAAGCTCCTGTCTATTCTACCAGTATAGGTTGTAGCCGTGTTGGTCTATGTCCAGGATATGCCTATGTCCATTGTACCTGCAGGCGTGTTTTTCACTGGTTTGCACTTATGCACAAGTGTCTGTGTACTTGGGATGTGTTACCTGCAGGGGTATTCTGCCAGGTGCCATCTCCTATATAGGAATGGGTGTTTTCAACCTTACACATGTGACATGAGCTGTATCTCTGGGGCAGAGGCGCCTCAAGCCCTTGTGCTGCAGACATGGTGTTTGTGCACTTCGCTGTGGATGGATTCCCAGCATTGCCTGCTATTCTGGTCCTGGTATCCTCAGCTTTCCCCCTGTTTTTCCAGTCCTGGATTTCCCAAAGCATCTCTGCCAATCCCCAGCAGCTCTGGGCTGTAGTCTCCTCTGCTTTTCCAGTGAAAGTCCTCTCCAGAGCAGTGTTTCTTTTTGTGAGAAAGAAAGCCACCCTCTCCCTGCACCTCTGAGTGCCCTGAGCCCAGCTCCTTGCTGAGCAGGGTAGTGCAGCCCTGATTCCACATCTGGAAGCTCAGTTAATGCACAATGCTTCCGGCATATGTCTGCAAGCTGCGGTGCCCTGGCCTGCCCCCGTCTCTGTCTGGTCCAGGTCTTTGCCACTGCTGCGGCATAGCTAGAAATGCCATCAACTCATTTCCCATGCAAACAGGATTAAGGGATTAGAGACCCCCCACCTGGAACAGTGCCTGGGTAAAGGGAGGAATCCTACTCAAGATTGGTGCCCAGGAAGTAGCTTCACACTGGTCTGTGCCCACTCCCCTGCCACCAGCTCCCTTTACCCCTACCCCATGCTCTGGTCAGCACAGGTACCTCTGAATGCTGTGGACCAGAGCTCCCGGGGGTCTGCTCTTCTTGCACTCATAGGAGCTCCAGGCGTCCCGTGCATGCATGAGTGTGAAGATATGTGTACAAGCAGGAGGGGAGTTGGGCAAACCTGTACCTGTCTAACCCTGGATTAGGGCCATTCTCTGCTCTCCTCCAACCCCCTCCCACCTCCTCACCCATGATGCAGAGGTGAAATCTGCCCTGTATCCCATGCAAGGAAGCTCTTCCCCTGCAGGCAGGCTGCAGATCCCTGAACTGAACCACTGGGGTTTGGTTAATGTCCGCTGAACTGCTGAGCTATCAAAGTAATGCTTGTTCTGGTCTGGCTTGTTTCCTGCAGGGTGGCCGTGGCATCAGGGGACCCCAGGGGGACCTGGGCCCCAAGGGGGAGAATGTAAGTACAGTCCCTGTCTGGATTCAAGCTACTGGCTTTGATGTAGCTGCAGGGAAGGGGTTTGCAGGGTGGGGAGTCAGGGAAGTGGCTTTTGGATGGGACTGAAACCCAGGGAAGGGAATGGACATTTCAGTATTACCTCCTCTGTGCCCATCTCTGCACCCATCAGAGTCCGTCTTGTCCTACCCCGAGGCAAAGGCTCACTCAATGCTGTGCTTAGCCAGCTCATCCGCCCAGGTCCCATGCCAGGGGGGACGCGTGTGTCTCACCCGCTTCTCCCCTCCCTCTTCATGGATCATCCTAAAACCTCTTCCCAGCCAGTCTCTGTCACTTGTGCTCTGCTCCATGGTGGGCCAGAGCATCCTCAGAGGGGCTGCTGTGCCCCGTGTCTGCACCAGCTGCTCTGGATTGAAGGGTGAAACCCATCACTCGCACCTGATGTTCCTGCCTCCTTTGGGGTTGGAGGGTCTTCCTCTCCCCTGCTCCTTACTCTGTGTTTGGGGCTGCCCTTTGTGTCCCATCCCATCCCCCTTACCACTTGCCTTCACACTCAGGAGCTCCCTGCTCCATGAGCAGCTCCATGAGACCTCCCGGGAGGAGGCTGCAAGGTGGTGTGTCCTGCTCTACCAGCCAACGGCTTCCATTTTTCCCAGCTCCCCCTGTCCCTGGACCTGGAGCAGGTCCTCCTCTTTCCCCTGGGAGGCTGCATGCTTTTTTGAGAGTCCTGACCCCCTTCAACGACATTATTATGTGATGATGGCTCCTCTCTCTCTGTTGCAGGGTCTCCCTGGCATTGATGGTAAAGATGGCACCCCCGGCATCCCTGGTGTGAAGGTGAGATGCCAGGAGGGGGTTTCAGATGTCTCTAGATGTTCTCGCATTCTCCCCAGCATCCATCTGTCTCAGTGTCTCTTTGTCCCTTTACAGATTAGAAAGTTTCTTTCTCTGCTTCTTGTTAGTCATATCCCCCCCAGCTGGAGTTGCTCCTTTGCAGACCCTGAGCCGCCAGCCTTCAGGTTGCTGGTGTTGTGGCCTGGAAGAGAAGGGGTCTCTCACCTGGGATCTGTGATGGGCACCAAAGGGTTCAGTGTCCCTGACATGGAGGCTAGCATGACCGCTAGCACCCAGCTTCCCACTGGGATCCTTGTAGCTCAGGCTGGCTATTCTGGGATATTGGGAATGCCCAGGTGGGACCCCCTTCTAAGACAAGGGGCTACTAATGGGGCTGTTGCATGGGTCTCCCCTTTACATTGCAACTGTTGCATGTGGAAGTGCTCTGGCCTCGTCCAGCTCAGAGTGCCCAAAGCTTTTGAACACTTATCCCATCTGCACTGTGCTCCTTCAGCCCAGAGGGCCTCGACCCCCTTCTGTGATTTGCTTTGCTCTTGGCTGCTACCCAGTAACAGCTTATCATCTCCCTTGCAGGGGAGCGCAGGGCAACCGGGCCGCCCAGGACCACCGGGGCACCGAGGAATGGCTGTAAGTATGGGAGCCTAGAAGCCATCCCCAACCAGGCTGTCACCTGGCACTGACATCCCTTAGCTAAGTCCCTGCTGATGACTAAGTGGCGTGGGCCAGACAAGAGCCAGCTCTCACCTTGCCTTGTTAGTACAACAGCAGTCCTGTTCAGGGTGTGTTGTGCCATGGCGAGCCAGCAGTGAAATGGTTGGTCTAGAAACTGCTTGAGTCTAGCACACCAAGTGCAGCGTAGACCTGATCTTAGACCAGGGCAGCTCAGATGCAGCTTTAGTTGAGCCTGATGCCCTATTTCCTCCAGGGCAGTGTGGATACTGCGAATAGTGCCACATCCAGGCATTTTATTGCTCCAGGATTTCTGCCCCTTCCCCTTTCCCAGTCCTCTGTGCTCCTTGATCCTGATCCTACTTTTTCCTGTGCCTGGTGTCAGTCAGGAGTAACCCCACAGCCCTGAAATGAGATCTGAACCAGGCCTTTTGGTCTCAGGGAGTTGCTTCTGATTCACATTGTAGGGAGGGGAGACTCAGTCCTAGGTTAAGACTGGGGCCAAATTTGGCCTTGAATTTTGGTGTGGCTTAAAAGGGTGCAAAATGACACCCTCAAGCTTTGCCCTGAATATGAGCTGAACCTGCCGTGAGGTTCATAGGAGCTCGGTAAACTTTATTTCCTAGATGTTTGCTGCAGGTTTAGTACTTACGGATCCTGTTGGGGTATGGAAGCAGAAGTGATGAGATGTCACAAGAGGCAACCTTCCTTGTGGTGTCATTGGGCCATTTGAAGAGAGAAAGCAGAGTAGAAACTTCTAAAGCATAAAAGCTTATTATTCTCTGATGTGAAAAGGAGAAGAGGCCAAAGGATCTTCATGCTCATTAGGACCATTCAGCTGCTTTGCTATTAGAAGGTTACCTGTGACCTGGTGGCCCTTTGAGCAATGGTCTAAGGCAGGATTCATGGTCCAGATGATCTCCCAGGACAGGCAAGTCTTGGGATTGTGGCCCAAGCAGTTGGGAGAAGACTCTGAACTTCTACCTTCATTCAGCCCCAACTTTCTGAGATGTGTCCCACCTTACATTTTGGTTTTTTCCTATTTATTCCCAGTCTGTAGTGCTCCATCCCAGCAGCACCATGTTCTTCTGGCAAAGACCTCTCCCTCCCTACAAGGGGAATCTCAAAACACCTGGGACTGCATCTCGGGATGGGGACCCCCTCCATGGGCAGGTCTAGGATTTTGAAAAGGGGGGTGCAGACGGTATGGTGCATCACCACATATAACACAATGTATTTTTGTCCAGGAAAAAGGAAATTAGAAGCGTTGCTAATATGCTAGGGGCCTAAAGCTATGATATGCAATTTAAGATCAAAGCACAAGCAAATATAGCTTTAGTGGAACGTGCATGAATTTGCTATATCATACGTATAAAGACACAATGAAGTAGGCAAATATAATCAGGTGTTTCTTTTGTCCTGTAGTCACTTGAATTAAATGTACATCTTTTTCAGATTCATAAAACAAAATCTAGCCTTCTTGAGTTTCATTGAAAGTTATTTTCACACCTGAGTGAATGTTTCCACACCTGAATTGAAGTTTTGACTAGACTTAAAAACAGGCTGCAGGGCTGTGAAATGACTAGAGGCAGCTGACAGACAGCAGAATTGCAGAAGGAAGAAGAGTTTCATTAGAGGAACATTCAGACCATCAAAAAGGAGAGATGGTCCTTAACACCTGTGCAATGAAGAGTATGAGAGGAATCAGGTTAATTGTAGTGAGCCATGAAGTCTAGTGACCTCCTCTCTGCTGCTTGAATAAAAATGCTGCTGCTGCTGCCAGACAAGGCTCTTTGGGTAAGCCTGAGATCTTTTATTAGACCAGCTCAAATAGCTGGAAAAATTCTGCTTTGCAAGCTTTCGGGTACAAATCGTGTACCCGAAAGCTTGCAAAGAAGAATTGTTCCAGCTATTTGAGTTGGTCTAATAAAAGATCTCAGATTTACCCAAAGAGCCTTATCTGCCTATGTCCTTAGACTGCTGCCACTGCCATGCACTTAGTTTTAAATTTGGGGTGGACCAGGAATTTAAAGGGGATGAAGCTTCCCCCCTGAACCCACCCCAGATCTGTCCCTGACCCCCTCAGTCACCCATCCAAAATGCACAAGGAGGGCAGTAATACCCAACACCCTCCACACAGTAACTAACCTGGGTTTGTTTCGGCAGGGTTTACCAGGCCAATCTGGCACCAAAGGCGGCCCAGGAGCAAAGGTGGGTGAGAAGAGCCTTTGGGCACTTCTTGGAACGAATAACCTCTTTGAAGGTGGGGTTAGCCTGTGGGTTTTCTCTAACTCCCAGCCCTGCAGCTGGAGGCTGTGATGGGCATGCTTGGCGCACAGGAAGACCAAATCCGTCAATGGATGGAAACAGCTTTATGACCTTTTATTTATCATTTTCCTTGCTGGCTATTTGGACCATGGCACTGCTCTCTTTCCACCCCTCCACGCTCTTTCCTTTCTCCATCACATGAACCCTAAGTTGCTAGTCTTCACGGTCAAGGCTGCCCCCCACCTCCCCTCCGGGCCTGACATCTCTCATAGGATATTGAGAGATCAGCTTTGTTTCTGTTGGGCCACCAGTGCAAACTTCCCTTGCCCACTGCTTAAATGGTCAAACACACCTCTCTGTGTCTTCTCATGTGCTGCCCCTCCTAGGTGGGCAAAGCCCCTTGAAAACATCCACAGCGCTTCCTCATTGTCCTCCTCCTTCCTGGAAACTCTCCATTGCCAGGATGCCTACAAAAATCTTTACAGGGACAAAGCTGGCGATGTGTTGAGGACACTACTTCTCAGGTTGGCTTTGAGGCTTTCTTTTTACTCTTTCCTCTGCCTCTTTCCTAGAAAGTAGAAGCTATGTTTTTCTGTGCTGTGTTTGCACAGTGCCATGCACAGCAGGACCACGGTCCATGCCCGGGGGTCCTAGGCACTAGCATGTTACTAGGCCTCAATACTACGTGCCATCAATTTTGTCTCTGCATCATTCACAGGGTGAGCCAGGTCCCCGCGGGCTGGCAGGAATTACCGGGCCTTCGGGGCAAATGGTAAGTATAGAGACGCCATCTGTGTGTGTTACTGGGCCCCTCTGGCTCCTTTCCCATCTATGCAAGAGGGAGAGCTCTTCCATTCCTGCCTGTGTTTGCTTTTCTTTCTTCTTGGAGCTTCCCCGTGGATCAAAAAACAACACCAGCCCCTTCCCCTCGCCCCATTTCCCCCTCCCACTGTTTGCGCAGTCTCTGCTGCAGGGAGCAGGAGCTCCAAGCCCTGCTTGCATGGCTGGGCCGTGAAGTCACCCAGGAGGTGGGAGGAAGCACAGGGACATTTTCAAAAGGACGCTGAACCCAGCCCCAGCCCCACATTGCATCTCATGCATACTCCGCTGGGCTCAGCCCGTTGCCACATTCTCACTTATCCACAACCTCCACAACTCTGCTAAGACTTTGTGCCCTATTCCCTGGTACCCAGAAGCTCCTGGATCCCCACCCAGACCCCTGAATAAGCCCAGTCTAGAGTCCTAAATAGCTGGGGGGTCTGACTTTGTTGCTGCGTTTCACATGGGTATGGCTGGGAAGGAGGGACCACGCAGAAGTCACCCCCATGTGTGAGTTGCCTGTGGAAAGCCCCGAAGGGCAAAGGAGTGCATGGGAATATTGAGAGAGGTGGGAGATGTGGGTGGTCCTGGAGGATGCCTGCAGAGCCCTGGATGAGCAGCAAGAGGTGCTGCAGCACTAGCCCATCCTAATAAGGATTTCTTTTCCTCAGGGTGAGCCCGGACCTCCAGGTGAGCAAGGGCCGCAAGGTGTCCCTGGGCTGAAGGTGAGTCCAGAAAACACGCTGGAGCACTGGCTAATGGTTGGGGCAAGGCAATGGGATCCAGAACTCCTGGACTCTCTCCAAGCTCTAGGAGGGGACGTAGTTTGAAAGTTAGCACTGGGGGTGCAGAGCTAGGACTCCTGATTTCTTTCTGAGATCTGGGAAGGAGCGTGCTCTTGAGTGCACTCAGGTATTGTGCTTCAGTAATTGTTGGAGCAAGGCAACGGGAGTGCGGGGTTGCATTCCTCATCTGGATGGGAGCATGTTGCAGTGCTTGGATGTGATGTATTGGGAATCAGGACTCTCAGTTCTGGCTTTGAGTCGCCACAGGACCCTTGGCAAGACCCTGCCCCTCTCCACTCCTCTGTTTTACTTGTCTGCAAACTGGGTATAATCCTTCCCTGTGCAATGTGGGGCTTGGGTGGTTTAATCCATTTGCAGATTGCTCTGGCTGAAATGCACCCCAGGAAGGGCAGACACTTTCCGTTGCACTGTCATTTGCTCAAGGGAGCTCCCACACTCCTGTGGCTGAGACCTGTTGCTCTTGGGGAGAGTGGATAGACAACCAGTGAGTGGTGATAAAGCAGGAGCTTGGCACACATGGGGAGGGAGCTGCAAGCACAGGGGGCCTGGATCCCACCCTACCCAGCTCTCCCCAGCTCTACCTCCCAGGCAGCTATTGCTACACACCTGAGTACCTGGCATGGGAAGAGAGGATGGGCAAGCTGGGGTTAACCCCTCGTTCATGGGAAACCAGGTAGCACCCCTGCACTCCCTCACTGGTATTTGGGAGAGGGACTTGTGGGGACTGTAGGTAGTGGGGTGGGAGGAAGGGGCACAGCCACAGAGGCTGTGCAGAGGCTGGAAGGCAGCGGTGAAATGATGGGGAGAGTGCTACCAGGCATCATCTGCTCAGGACCCACTGCTCTTTCCTCTCTGCAGGGCGATCGGGGTGAGCGTGGCCCTGTGGGTCCCCAAGGTGTTCAGGGGAAAGTGGTGAGTATGGCATTGCTTGCATGCACACCTGCGTGCGCACGTGCGTGTGTGCATGCACACATGCATAGGTGCGTGTACATACAGCAACTCCGGCACCAGAACCTTGGCAAGGACGTGGAATTTCCCCTTTTCCTCCTCCTCAGACAAAGCCCAGTGCCCACAGGGCTCAAATGGCTCGATCAAGCTGGGCTGGATCAGGTCTGTAGCTAGAGAAGGGTCTTTGTGGAGCATGCGCTGGTGGTCCACGTGTATCGCACCTCTCCCTAAGCATATCAGCTTGGTGCAGCTTGTCAGCACTCCCGTCAAAGCCAGTGTCTCTGCAGATGGACCAGCTGCTCTGAGTCCCTTGCAAAGTTACTGCCTGGCTTCTGGTCCAGTGTCATCCTGGCCAGAGGAGACCAACAAAGCAGGAAGAATCCAGCTTGGTTTGAAGCTCCCAGGTGGGTGGGACACTCAGATATCTGTCTGCACTTGGGAAACTGCATCTGTTTCATGTGCATTGTTCAGAGGAGGAATAACTGCCCCCCCCCCAGCCCAAACCAGCATGACCACAATGCATTTCGGCCCATGGATGGACATTGAAATAACCATCCGAGCTTGCTTGCCAAGGCAGTCGTTGGCCACGGTCCTATCCTACTGCATTGCAAGGGCAATGCCCTCAGTTCCCTATGGGTACTGCATGAGGCTGGGGTTAGAGTTGGGGGTAGATGCAGTGTTAGTGGGGCCCTATAGCCTGCACAACCACGTGCCCCGACAGGGCAAGCCTTTTGAGGGGAATTCGTGTGTCAATGCTTCGTTAGCAAAGTGGGATCGAGCTCCTGCTCCTGCCGGGGTGTCTGAGCACTGGCCTGGGATGCAGGAGCCTTGTCTTCTACTCCCTGCTCTTCCACTGTGTGACTTTGGGCAAGTTTCTTTCCTTCTGCATGTCTCAGTTTCCCCATTCTATGAAGTGGGAATAGCACTGCTGATCTCCTTTGTAGAGGTAGGATAAAAGATATCACCTGCAAAAACCCATGCCTCTCCTTTTGTAAAGCACAGAGGAGAAAAGCTGGGAAGTATTACATGCATTATGTACCCTCTGCACCTGAAAGCCAAAGGCTGGGCATGCAGTGTGCTCCAGATTGCCTCCAGCTCCATTCGGGGACTTGCATAAGTAGCCACAATGATGCTGCTGTGTGGACTTGTCTCATGGCTGGGCCTGAAGGCACCACGCAGTTCGGTTCCCTCTGCACTCAGGAACCGTGACTGTGCCACTGAGGCTCAGGCCTGGGGAGGTTTGCCCTTTGGGAGCCCTGGTGCATTTTAACAGAGCCAACTGGCACGCTAATAGGAATGCCAGCATTAATTGTGCTCCGGCCCCAGGAGCCTCCTCCAAGCAATTGAACCTGAAGGGGGAACAGAACCAGCCTGGTGCCTGCTGCGAGTGGCCAGACAGAGCCAGAGGATTAGCCAGCAGGACTGAATTGCTTGGGGATTAACAGTCCTGAGATGCCAGTTATGTGTTTACAGCTGGAGCTGGGACGGGAGTCTCCTGGGAGAGGGGTGTGCTGCAGGGAGGGGGTTTTCACCTTTGCAGATTTTTCTGAGTATGGGGCTGGCTGTAACCTCCAGCCTCGTCCTTGCTATGATGCGAGTCCCCTGGGAACAAGAGTGCAGACAGATCCCTCCCTGCTGGTCTCTCTGCAAGGTGCAATGGAGGTTGTAAGGCTGTTTAGCAGGGGAAGGGCTGTCCTGTCTCCCGTGGGTGGCCTTGTAGACAAGAGAGACTGAGAGAAAAGTCCCCTCAGTATCTAGCAAGTTGAGTGAATAAAAAAAAAATCTCCTTAAATGAAGTCCAGGTCCCTACACAGAAGATGTGGTGACATGACCATGCATGTAAACTATGCCCACCTGCCTGAGACCCTGGGCATATATTCTGCTTGCTAGCTCAGGCCAAAGTTGAGAACGATTCATCTTCTCTACCATAGAGGTACTGTATTTTCTCTCAAATAACACACAGTTTTTCCCCAAAACGAGCTGCTGGGAATTGCAGTGTGCATTTTTTTGCGAGAAATATGGTAAGAGCAGTTTCTGCCCTTAAGGGCAAAAGTAAAATCTGCTTGTAACTCGCAGGGAAAAGAACAGTGAGCAGACTTGTCTCCCCAGCTGCTGGCACTCGGTTCCTTCCTACAAGAAAGAGCTTTTTAATTTTATTCTGCCTTTCAAAAACAATGTACGTATTATATTCCAGGGCATGTTGTATGCAAGAAAATACGGTACTCATGGCACTGAGACTAAAGCTAGGACACCAGAGGGATGACCCATATGGTGGGGATTATGCTTGCCTGGATCCTGCAGCGCACGGTGCTCTGCTAATGGGAGTTTTATCCCAGACTTCTTTGCAAGCCCATTGTAGCGCAGACCATTTCATTGCCTACCTTAGGGCAGCATCTGGAATACATAGGTACAGAAGCCCCCAGCTACTGTTCCCGACTAGTTTCCTAATCTTATGGGTTCAATACCCCAGCAGTCTTGAATACGCTTCGTTGTTTTTTCATTAGCCACCACCGTGAGCTCTGAACAGGGTTGCATCAAATCCAGGTTTTGCATTCCCAGCTGCCTCTCTGTGCTCAGTCATCAGGGAGTCTTCCTCACTGAAGGTCTGTTTCTTCCCCCCTAACATTAATTCTTTCTTTCTCATGTTGTTTGGATTTCCAGGGATCTAAAGGGGAGCAGGGTCCTCCCGGCATCCCAGGATCCCAAGGCCTGCCAGGTGTCAAAGGAGACAAGGTAAGGTCTTGAAATTCTTGACTGAAGGGAGGGAGATCAAGAGGGCCGAGGGCAAGAGCAGAAGGGAAAAGAGATCCATGAGGTTTATAGATTCATAGATGCTAGGGTCGGAAGGGACCTCAATAGATCATCGAGTCCGACCCCCTGCATAGGCAGGGAAGAGTGCTGGGTCTAGATGACCCCAGCTAGATGCAAATCCAACCTCCTCTTGAAGACCCCCAGGGTAGGGGTGAAGACCCCCAGGGTAGGGGATGAAGACCCCCAGGGTAGGGGCAGTGGAGGCACAGTTTGCAAAGAGCTCATATACTACAGAGAGGAGTGGTTGCCCCATAAATATATACCCTGGTTATGATGCATGGACATTGGACACAATGTGTGTGGTCAGCGGATAGGCACCAGGGGTACTGCGGATGGGTGGATATACGGTAGACAGATTCATAGATAGCAGAGATGTTGGGGGATGGAGATAGTAGGTGGCTGTTTGCATAGTTAAAGTGGAAGGACAGGTAGATAACAGGATAGAATTGATGACAGCAGATCTGGATGGATGGTTGCATACTTACCAGTGGATACAATGAGGGGCAGATGAGCAGACATCATAATTAGGTGATATATGATGGTGGAGATGGTGGATGGATTGATAAGGGTAGGTGTTACAAGTGAATGGCTGGAAGAGGTGGATGGATGGATAAATAGCACTGAATACACTTGGTCAGATGACAGCATGGGAGATACAGAAGTAGCTAGCTCTTTTTGCATTTATTTTTACTGACAGCGGTGGCTCTTTTAAAAACTTGCTGCAGGACATGGTCTTCGCCAAAGCTAGCACCAGGGGCAGATCTCTCCAGAAGTGGAGAGACCTTTCCTGAGAACCTGTTTGGCCTAGGTTCAGTTTGCTCAGGGCATCGCAGGGCTGCTGCACAGTGTTTGCACCAGTGCTAAGGGAGAAATGCCTGTTGAAGGCACCCGGTGTGGCCTGGAAACATTGATCTCTCCTTGAGTACAAGTGTAAATGGCAGCTTCCAGTGCAAAGCAGGAGGGAAATGGAGTTTAGTGCTCTTTGAGGGCTCCTTTCAGGCCTGTATTTTAGGGCTGAGAGTCCCAGGGAAAGGGAAAACTGCCTGGAGAAGAGCAGAGGCAGCATGATGGAAGAGAAGGTGGCAGCGGTCGAGTCTGGTCGAGTCCTTTTTTTCTCCATGCCCTCCTACCGAGCTCCTCGAAAGACCTCCCTGCACTGCGATAGATGTTGCATGCTGGGCTGCAACAGAAAGAGCCCTGGCTGGAGAAGGGCAGATGGGGATTAGCCTCAGAGGCTTCCTTGGGAAAGAGAAGGGAATGAGAGCTGTGCAGTCTGCTCAGATCAAAGAAGCTCTGCAGACCAAAGCAGGGGCCACCCCTGTGCTTGGGACTTTGGGTCCATGCATGTCACGGCAACAGGGTGCTTAGTCTTGCCACTAAAGAAATGAGCCTCACTCACCTCCTCCTGTTCACTGTGCACCAACCCCCAAGTGAGGGTGGCCTGGATCGGCCCCAAGCAGCTGCACTCGAGGTTGCTGGAAGCCTAGGTCGCGGTGCCAAGGGTGCTTCTCGGGGCCTACTCCCCAGTCCATGGGCACCTGCTGAATGGGAGCGGGTGGGCAGCATGTATTTCCCTGGTGACATGCCCTTGACACTAATTAAACCCTGAGAAACAGGTTTTATATTGTGCTCCTGTTCCCACTTCACCTGTGGGTTAAGTAACTCTCGACTCTTCCGGATTAGGGTCGGGCTGTCCCCTGGGACAGAATGGCCTAGAGGACTATCCCAGGACCTGGTGGGACAGAAAGCCCCAGGCTCTGATTTCAGCTCACATGGGCTCTGCTTGCTTAGCTGCCTGCTTTCTGCTGAGCTTCATCTGTGGGAGGCTTGCCGCAAAAAGTGGAGTGGCAATTCATCTGCACAGGCAGTTGTTTACAATCACATTTGCGCTCAATTAGCCTCTGATTCATGAGCCTAATCAGGGATGTAGAGACTTGATCCAAGGCCTCTGGAAAGCTTCCCGCAGACCTCGCTGGGCATGGAATGGATCAGACCAGAGACAGCTTAGCAAGAGCGCAAATAAATGCTGATGTGCAGCTGAAGCTAGGTTTTCTGCACCACTTATTGCCCAGATGACAATTTGACCTTGGGGCTTGGATTTAAAGTAGGGCACTGATGGCTTTAATGTCTACCTCTAACAAGGCTGGGTAAATGGATGGAACTGACTGATACAATTAGTCTGATGCAAAACCTGGGACAGGGATTTTAGGGTAGGTACTGGTCTTTGAAGTCCCACGGTGTGTCACGAGCCCCTACTCAGCCACTTCTGTAAAGCGCTCATGATGCAGCTGCTTTTGTCATCTCATGCCAAGGCACAAAGACCTGGATCCTGATCACTCTCTTCTCTCTGTGTCTAGGGCTTTCCAGGAAAAATTGGTTCCAAAGGTGGCATTGTAAGTATCTGAGCTTCTTGCTGCTCTTGTAAGCTGCTTTTCTTGGGCTTGAAGTCTGTACGGTTCAAAAGTACTGGCTTCTGTTTACTGAATGGTGAACGTGCTTTCAATGACTAACCCAAAAGCTTCATGGGTCAATGGCTTGGCTTCCCTGTTCCTGTTGTTCTGTATCAAATGCCAAGTGGTTATTCACATCCTAGAAACATAGGTCTTAATTGCTAGTGTCCACAGAGCCTTTATTACCCTACACTTGACAGCAAAGCAAAGAACAAACTCCTAGAATAAGTCAGAAATGTTTTAATGAAACAGCTTTTCACTGGAAAATGCCAGTTTATTGAAAGAGAAACAGTTTGCACTGTAGTTTTGATTCCTGCTACAAGAACTTTGTGCAAAGAACATTTAAACAAAGGTGTCTGGTTTGTTTGCTTTCTTACGGATGCTGCAAATGAGTGGGTGCAAAGTCACAAATCTCTAGCCACGTAATTGCAGCTGCAAATCAGTTGCTTGGACATCTCGCCGTCTTAAACGGCATTTGCAAGTAACTGAGCATGTGAGATTACAGCCTCCAGACAAGAGACTCAGCCAAGCAAAAATATGGCTCTGTGTGCACCTGCAATTGTCTTCTCCGTGGTGGGGGCATGAGATGAATTGTATTGACTGACTCTTTTCCTCCCATGTAGGGAGACCCTGGCGTGGAAGGTCTTCCCGGGGAGAAGGGGGAGAAGGTAAGGATCCCTTCAGACAGCTTTTGCTCCTGGTTTGTGAGAGACACGTGCATGACAAGAATGGCCCCAGATGCAATGCAACCATGACACAGTACTGTGTCGCTACACCACAGTGCTATTCAATGTCTGAAGGTTGCATGGACCCTACTGATGGCTTAAGGGCATGCCGACGTGCCCAGATGATCCACCAAGAATAGGGGTGGGTGCTGACCCTCTGCTGCACAGTCTCCCAGGAGACAGTGCCCAGCAGTAATCCAAGAGCTTGTGGCACTACTTCACACTCATGTTCCCTCTTTATTTTATGTCTAGGGTGAATCAGGTGAGCCAGGACCAAAGGGGCAGGTGAGTGCCTACAAATCTAGGAATTAACAGCTTCCTGCACCTCTCCATGTGAACTTTCTTCTTGGGATAACCCTCCACCACCTGTTGGTTCTTGGGTGTCCAAGGGACCAGTGGGGGTTGCTACTGGGGTTTTGTGGAGGGCTGGTGGGATGGGAGGGAACTAGCTTTGGTCTGTTAGCTGCTTTCAGAGGGGTCAGTAAGGCTCTACCTTGGGGTGATCCCACTGGGGTCTGTGGCGGGCCAGGAGCGGGTGCTGCTGCACCTGAGCCACCCATCTCACTGCGCCCGACCACCTTCCAGGCTCTGTGTGCCCCCCTGGGGGTGCCTTATGTCTGGCCGAGTCCCTCCCTGGAGCACACCCACTAGCCTGGGGGTAATGCTGCCACCACCCAGGGTCTGGAGTGCCCCCTGGGAAACACAGGCCTAGTAGCCCTTGAGGGTACTTGACCCACTTCACGAACTTGGGGTGCTTCTCTCAGTCTTAAGCACAAATAGTGGTCTCCCTTAGTCAGCCGAACCAAGGGGACCCCAAGGCATAATCTAGACCCACTCCCAGTAAGTCTCCCACACTAGGTACAAAGGAGAACTTTATTGGTTACAAGGGGTAGGTTTGGAATAGGGTACAGGGTAGAGCAATATCAGAGAAATCCTGTAGAGCAAACTGGCATGGCTGGGTAGTCTTTAAACACGCATCTGAGTTACTGCAAGCTATATGTCTAGTTAGATCTCAGGTAGCTTACTCACGAGTATCATCCAGAGGCAGGTGGAGATTCCCTCTGGAGGCAGGCAGTTCACTGATCATGAGTTTCAAGAGAGAGAGCCAGTTTCAGATAGTCCAGCTCTTCTCTCTCTGAATTTTCATCATGACTACTGACTCTCCTCCTGGGCAGTCCTTAACTTATATAGACCTTATAACCTCATTTACCTGGTCCATTGGAGGCGAGCACCTGTTGGCTGCCAGCCAACCAATTTGAAATGCATCACTGGTTGCTGGGTAGACTGGCACTGCTTAGAACAATAGGGAGCCTAAGCCCCGCACCCAAGTATGTGATGCCAATCATGTAGGCAGAGGGAGCAGGTTTCCCCGCTCCCTCACGAAAGTATCCAGTTCAGGTTACCTAAAGAGATGGGATGTCTGCCCTCTCTGTTACCTAAAGAGATGGGATGTCTGCAGGGTCCATTTTAACCAAATTGTCACAGAGCAGAGTTTTTGGGGAGAGACAGAGGTGGCCTTCTGCCACAGGGTCCCATGGCCAAGCTTCCATGTTGCTCTGCACAATCTCAGTCTAGGGCTTTATCCGAAATGGTGGGCTGTAGATTGAATACTGTTCCAAGGGCACTGGAAATCTCATTGAGAAGATGCTGATAAGTGCAGCTGCTGCTGTTAAGCCTCTTATTTGGGAGCCTCAGCCAGGGGCATAGATGGATTTTGGTGGAAGTGGGACAGTATCTTGAGGTGCCCTCCTCCTACATGGACTCTGGACTGGGTCCACCTACAGGGTCCAGAGCCTACAATGCAAGACTAGCCTGAGATCCTCCAGTTGCTGATTCCTCTCTCCTTCTACATTGCAGCAAGGCATCCGTGGTGAGCCTGGCTTTGCTGGTCCTTCTGGTGATGCTGGCTCACCTGGCGTAAGAGGTTACCCAGGACCACCAGGCCCTCGTGGGCTCAACGGAGAGCGCGGCGTGCCAGGAATGCCTGGCAAGGCATGCCGGTGAGTGACCCCTTCATATGTGGTTTGTACCCTCTATAACCCCCAGCGTGGGTGCCAGAGTGTGGCACTTGAAGGCATTTTGCTTGGCACACGTGCACCTGGGTGGATGGTGGGGAAGGGACCAGGGCTACATGGCAACAGCAAGGATCGGGTTCCTCGTGGCTCCCCTGTCATCCACCCCTGGCACACCAACATCTTACAAGTTGAAGATATGGGTGTTTTTGGTGCTCTGGCCAAAAATGTCACTGACCCCTGCTCTGCAGTGTGGGGAGCGCATGTTCCAGGGTGAAGTGTGACTTTGATCCACATGAAAGAAGTCCAGGCCGTGATGTGGGTGGAGCCAGAGAAGGGACATGGGCAGGCAGATACAGTGTGCCAGGCCCTGCTCCACTGATGTCACAAGACAAAACTCCATTGATTTCAGTGGGAGCAAGGACAGATGCTGTCTGGAGATAGACAGCACAGGCTGGACACTCCTAAGAGAACTCCCTGGCTCGTGCTGATTGAGTAGGCATGATACAAGAGTACCCTCTTGTGCCCAATAATGAGCAGTGCAAAGGCAGGCACAGGGCTGGATAACTGCTTTTCTGCAGCCTCGCTCTCTGGAGGTTGGACCTCTTTCTATTTCCACTGGGCAAATACTTCCAATGTGGGTGCTTATTTCTTATAGCAGCGCATGGGCTGTGGATGGTTTGCATGCACACGTCAAAGGCTTAGCTGTAGATGGACTGGAATCTCTCCACTTCCACATGCAGCATGTTAAAACTTGCAACTGGTAATTAATAATTGCTAATATTAGTACAACCTCAAGGTGCTTTCCCATGCACAGGCGAAGCTGGGAGGCTGAACAAGGATGCACTCCTGCCCTCCATGGGCATGTACCTGAGGAAGGGCTGTTTTTGCCGTGCATGTGTTTTTTCACTATGGGTATTTCACCCTGCACAAAAGAGCTGAGGTGAGACACTATCCAGGGGCTCAAAGCAGGGCCTGGATTTTGCCTTAAATTTACAGATCTCGAGAAGAAAAATCTGCAACAAATCTGCAACCCTCAGGTCTGTCTGGGCTGCCAAATCCGGGATCAGCACTAGAGGGCACAGCATACCTTTTATCTTAGGACTTTACCTTTTTCCTGCCAGGACCCTAGCATTCCTTCCCACTCAGCTGCACAAGGAGGATAGCGTGGTTATGTGGTTATGACCCCAATCTCTATTTGTGACTGTCCTACCTGGTAGCAAGCCATTCCTAGGTGGGGTTTAAGATGATCTCCAGCCCTGTGTTACACAAAGATTAGGCAAAGGAGCAACCTGCTGGATTTCCATGCTTCAGAAAGTAGCAGTTGCTTTTGATCCCCTTAGTGGGGGGCAGCATGGTCGATAGGATGCCATTGCCCAACCTGCCCGTGGGTTGTGGCACAGAATAGCTGGGGAGTGGTATTGGTCTCTGTTTGTTGGGCAGCTGTATCTCTGAGCTTCTCTCCTCTCTTCTGCTCCCAGGGCCGGGATGCTGGGGACCAGCACATTGTTGATGTGGTCTTGAAGATGTTGCAAGGTGAGTAGAAGCACTGCCCCTGCTGGGTGGCGATCCCTGTGGCTCTGCAGGCACCAACACCCCTTGCCTTGTGTCTGCCTTACAGAACAGCTGGCAGAGGTGGCAGTGAGTGCCAAGAGAGCAGCTTTAGGTGAAGTTGGTGTGATGGGACTGCCTGGTCCCCCAGGGCCCCCTGGGCCACCTGGTGAGCAAGGCCTGCATGGACCCCCTGGACCACGTGGCATCCCGGGCATTTTAGGAGCCATGGGGCAGATTGGCAACACTGGGCCCAAAGGTAAGTGCCACTTCCCCAAACTGGGATTTCTTCTCTAAGCTATTTTTGGCTTTTATTTGCTAATTTTTTAAAATTTAATTATTTTAATACTTCCCACTATTTTCAATTTTGATTGGTCACGTGATGCGATTGGTCTCCTCCCCCGTCCTCCTAACAAATGCAATGTCGCTGTGGATTATAACGGCCTCAACCTCACATCCAGCGCCTTGTTTTGTCTCTGTGTGGAATCAGGGGCTGCCTCTTCCTCCTTCTCCTCATTTAGTCCTCAGTGAGCTTTCAGCCCTCCGCATCCTGTACCACAGCAGCCAGGCAGCACAACCTGCTGCCCTTTGCACCCTTTCAAGAGACCCGAAGCTATTGCTTTTATGGTGCGTTCACACCAGCCACTTCTCTTGTTTCACGCAGGGAAGCGAGGAGAGAAAGGAGAGCGTGGAGATGTTGGACGTGGACATCAGGGCATGCCGGGACCTCCGGGAATCCCAGGTGAGCCTGCTGCTGAAACCTGACAGCTACACAGGACTGGAAGGTCAAGATTACTGTAGTACAGATCATGAAGATGGGAAAAGGGCTGGTAGATCGCCTAGTCCCCCAGCTAGTGAATGATGGACCCACTTTCTGGTGCTCTGTCCAATCTAGCGTTAAGTCACATAGCTAATGGGACCTCCCGTGCCTTCCCGAAGATTGACATCCTATAAGTGCTGGAGCATGAGGCTGGGAGTGGTACAAGAGCTCCTGATCATCTGTATTGACCTGCTATTGGGAAGGAGCCGGGCTGTAGACACTTGTGAGCAGCTCTGACTCCGATTCCTTCTAGCAGAGGACAACTCTCCAGCCTGCTTCATGGCACCCCTTGCTCCTCCACTCCTGGACTCCTCTCACACTGGTTTGCCAATACCCATCTCCTCCTGATGCTGCCCGCTGAGCTCAGCAGGTGTTGTCTTCTCACTCAACGCAGGAGCTGAATCCAAGACTCAGAAATATGTCAGTCAAAGGAACCCATGAGACCTCTCATGCAAGGAGGCCTAGATACCTGGGTACTTGATGTTTAGGTATAAAGACGCTTTGGCCAGTCAGAGAATAGCCTACTGCCCTGCCAATAGTTCATTAACTTCCATGGGAGTTGCTTGTACCCTGACTGGGAAGAATTAGGTCTGTTCCCTAGAGAGGTCCCAATCCAAAGACCAGTAGACATCTTTCCATTGAGTCCAGCGAACCTTGGATCAGGCTCATAGTGAGAGGATTGCGTTTTAGAAACCAGACACCTGGACCTTGAGTATTTATCTCTCATTTTAGGTCTTCCTGGCATCCCTGGCCATGCCCTCAATGGCAAAGATGGAGAGCGAGGCCCTCCTGGATCCTCTGGGCAACCGGGACGACCTGGGTTACCTGGGCCGGCTGGTCTCCCCGGATTCTGCGAGCCCGCTGCCTGCTTAGGAGCCTCTGCTTATGCCTCGGCACGTCTAACTGAGCCAGGAGCTGTCAAAGGACCTATGTACTGAGTGATGCATGCTGGCGTCCTTGGAGAAATTAAATGGGAACTTTTATCGACCAAGCTGGCCAAGCACCACCAAGACACAGCTGGTCTGGGGCCGGAAACCAAAGAGATGGGACACTCCCAACTTGTGTAAAGCAATATAGATGGGGAACCTCTACCTACATGCCCGGGCATCCATACCACGTGCTCTCTTCTGGTAGGAGGGAGACGTATGGTTACCCGGGGACACACAACTAAGGGGAAAAGACATTATTGGGGACTGAATTTGACATATAAAAAACCCTCAAACCCTTTAAAACAAATCACGGTAGGGGTGAAAGCCAGAAGAATAAAACTCCGTTGGCTTCAATATTGTGTCCTCTTCGTTAGGGCTCATTAGTTACCTCAGTCTGACCGCCCATGCCCAACTGTCATCCTCCCAAAAAGAAATAAATCGCCTTTTTCTACATATTCTCTTATTCTTCCATGTTTTATTTTGTGTGTAGGCAAAAGCTGCTTGTTGTCTGTCCCCCTTGTTGTCCTACTTGTTTTCAAAGAAGAAAAAAAAAAATGATGGTTGCCTATTTAATGAAGTCTCCAGATCCAGCCTTCTTTAATGTTGGACACTTCCCAAGCTGTAAATCTGTGTAACATAGGATTATTTTATAATTAAGAACAAATGCATACATCCACTTTTTAACAAAATGGACAATAAAATTGAGACGGAAGGTTAATTAACTTAATTAACGCGTTGAGATTTATTTGAACAGAATAGGAATTTGTTGCCTTGCAAGTTTTTTTTTTAAGAGGATATTTTCATTTATTTCGGTGAGGAATTGGAGGGGTTCACTACCTCCCCGGTGGAAAACAAAACTGAATCCAGGCTCTGGATTACCTTCATTAACAGGAATTATTTATTCTGCGTGTGCCTAGTCTCAAAGGAAAAGCATCTCAAAGGAAAAGGGGCTGTTTCCGGAGCTGTCCTTGGTGAGGACCCAGGAAGCCTGAAGTTGCAACTGGAACATCTTTACTCTCGATGCCCTGTGTGTTAGACTCTAATAAATTTGCACAGCTTTCCACAAACCAAAGGGAAGTGGTGGAATTATTTTTTGGTTGGACTTAAATGGGCAGGATTTTTGGTCTTGTTTCTATTCTTGATTTTTTTTCTTTCCCTTCTAACAAAAAATTATGGTTCCTTTGCTGCTGAAAGTCCCTTGGAGATGAATGCCTAGCTAGCCTTTAGTCACAGAAGGTGCCTGAGGTTACACACGCACATAGTCTTTGGCAAATCCAGGGGCTCACCCTGTGCATCCAGGCCAGTGCTGTATGAACACAATCTCTTTTTTCCAGCTCTGGGAAACATTTGATCCAAACTGAAAGTAAAACAAGTTGTTGCAGGTAACTGGAGCAGCCTCATCAATTTACACTGGAGCAGGTGCATGCTCTGCCTCTCGCTGCCTGTCTGCTGTTATTCAGCTCTCTAGAGCATCAGGGGAGGTCCAGCTTGCAGAGACTGGAGCAATGCAATTCATGTCTTGATGCAATCCACGTCTCTATGCAAACGTCCATGCAATTCATGTATCTATAATTTATTTTGCTTTGTTTTTGTTAGAAATGAACCTGCATGCAGCGTTCAAATTTCCCAAGGCTTGGAGATAGTTACAGGCATGCTGGCTTCCAAGCAGTTGCTTTATAGTGTGTTAACAGCATTTCTCAGGCCCCTTTGAAGGATCGGACTGCAAATCACTGACAGTCAGAGTCAGTTAAGTTAAGTAGGGCTGCCAGGGGAAGTAATATGAGGCAGCAAGTGTGCAAGGGGACTGACGCCTGGCAGTTCAGTCTCTTGTCAGGGAAGGGCAGAGTGATTATTACATCCCAGCATTTTGCTTCCAGCCCTTGCGGGCATCGCGGCATTGAAACCAGCTCAACTGCCAGGCCTCACAGAGCTCCTGGGCTGACAATCAGGACAATATCTTTGGGCTGGCTTCCCCAGCTCAGTGCCACCAGCACGGTGATCTTTCATTGCTGAGAAACTCTCTGTCTCATCTTTTAACTGCCTTGTTTATCAACCCAGAGCAGGAGCACAAAGTGAGGAGGAAAGGGTTTAGACAGGGAAGCTCAGTAGACTGTGGCTTCTTATTTATGGGGCAAATCTAACTCATGATAGAAATGGAAGGTCATGTACTACATCTCAAATGCCAACTGAGATGAGTTCCTTGGGACTTGCTCTCGCTCCCACTGGATGCTGTCCGTGTTGCACAGAGCATCCATTACAATTGCTTCTGATTGCCCTTCCCTCACATGTGTTGTCAGTCTAAGCAGATTTCAGGGACTGAATGAGCCCTGGATACTGGTCTCTGTTCCCACTCCGTGGTGGAGGGAGCTCCCCGTGGGCAGTGGGTCAGCCTGCTCAAGAGACAGGGCCTAATATCTGTCGACAAGCAACTTTCCAACGTGCTCTACATCAATATACTCTTACAGTAGGTCAGGGACAACTTCCCTCTAGGACTGTACATGGGAGGTGCATACTGGTGTCAGCAGGGGGTAGAGGCTGCAATTCCAGTGCAGGTATATCTACAATTCATATCTATATCTCTACATATAGCCCAATGACCATCTGTTGACAATTCATATATATACCTTTACGTATACCCCAATGACTGTCTGTTGACAATTCATATCTATATCTCTGTGTATAGCCCAATGACCATCTATTGGCAATTCATATCCATATCTCTGTATATAGCCCAATGACCATCTGTTGACAATTCATATCTATACCCCTATGCATAGACCAATGACCATCTATTGGCAATTCATATCTATCTCTCTGTGTATAGCCCAATGACCATCTATTGGCAATTCATATCTATATCTCTATGTATAGCCCAATGACCATCTGTTGACAATTAATATCTATATCTCTATGTATAGCCCAATGACCATCTATTGGCAATTCATATCTATCTCTCTGTGTATAGCCCAATGACCATCTGTTGACAATTCATATCTATATCTCTATGTATAGCTCAATGACCAGCTATTGGCAATTAATATCTATATCTCTATGTATAGCCCAACAACCATCTATTCGCAATTCATATCTATATCTCTATGTATAGCCCAAAGACCATCTATTGAGCATTGGGGTCAAGAAAAATTTTTCCTTCATCTGGGCATGTTTTACCCAGCAAACTCCCTGCCACGGCAGAGGCCCAATCCAATGGCAGTGCCCTCAGTTTTGCCTGCTCTCTTCCTGGGGCACACTGTAGATTTTGAGGCCGCTGGTTTTCTGTATTACAGATCTCAGGTTTATCATCTAGCAACTAGGTGTTGCTGGACCCGTAGCACAGAGAAGCATCACATCCCCAGGGAAGGAAGTAGGCACAGCTGAGCTCTGAAGCTCAGAGCTCTTTGGTGAGAATGACCTACTGGTAGTGGCTGAGACTGAGACACAGGGGCATGCCATGCCTATGACAGGTCCTTATCTCTCCAATACTAACATAGCATCAAGGAGTCCCAGCCATGGACCGGGAGTGTGTGTCGGGTGTTTTATGAACACAGAATGTAAAGGATGATCCTTGGCAGGAGTCAAGTACTTGATACTGAATGAGGGATGTACAAGCAGAGGTCAAGGTCTGTGCACTGATGATTATGCTTCCTGGGTTTACAGTTTCATAGTTTCTAGGGTCAGAAGGGACCTGAACAGATCATCAAGTCCAACCCCCGCCCTGGGCAGGAACGAGTGCTGGGATCATAGTACCCCAGCCAGATATCTATCCACCCTCCTGTTGAAGACCCCCAAGGTAGGGGACAGCAGCACCTCCCTTGGGAGCCCATTCCAGAGCCTGGCAGCCCTAACCATGAAGTAATGCCTCCTGATATCAAGCCTGAACCTACTCTCAATCAATTTGTGGCCGTTATTCCTTGTTATTCCAGGTGGTGCCCGGGGGAACAGAGCCTCACCCAATTTCCGCTGGTCCCCCCCGGTGAGTTTATAGACAGCCACCAGATCCCCCCTCAGCCTTCTCTTGTGGAGGCTGAATAGATTCAGGCCCTTTAGTTTATCTTCGTAGGGCCTGCCCTGCTGCCCCCTGACCATGCAAGTGACCCTCCTCTGGACCCTCTCAGTGATGTCCACATCCCTCCTGCAGTATGGCACCCAGTACTGGACACAGTACTCCAACTGTGGCCTGACCAATGTCACATAGAGGGGGAGGATTACCTCCTTGGACCTGCCGGTGATGCATCTGTGGATGCATGACAAGGTGAGGTTAGCATTTTTGACCGCTTCCTTGCACTGGTGGCTCGTGTCCATCCTGGAGTCAACAATGACTCCAAGATCGCTTTCAGCCACCGTGTTGTTGAGAAGGGAGTTCCCCAGCCTATAGGTGTGTTGCTGGTTCCTTCTCCCTAGATGCAGCACCCTGCACTTGTCTGCATTGAACTCCATCCTGTTCTCATCTGCCCACCTCTGTAACCTGTCTAGATCTAGCTGGATTCTCTCCCTCCCCTCCAATGTGCCCACTTCTCCCCACCTCTTTAAATCCAGCCTGCCTTGAACTCATTCTATAAAAAGCCCAATACATTTTGGAAGCTGTAGTTTTAGACAGAAGCCCTGGGGAAGTGTCGTCTCAGAGCAGGTGATAACAGTTATATAGTAATTAGATGAAGGTGGCAGGGAGGGTGGAGAAGGAAACAGGTGGGGCTGCTGAGCTCGTTGAGAAGATCCTCCTGGAAAGGGGAAGTGCGTGGCAGAAAGTAAGCAATGAGCCCCTAGAAAAGGGCCTGGGCAGCATAAAGGTGCAGCTTTGGTCACCCCCAATGCTCAAAATAATGAGTAGCCAGGGTGGTTTAGCAATGTCTTGTATTATCAGCTGGATAGATGCTAGACAAGCTTTTGCGGCCCTTCCCTGGGCTGGGAGAGTAGCTGGAGCTGAATGCAAACCAAGCCAACAACAACAACAGAGGCTTTTATTTAAGTTAAAAAAAAAAAGATAGATTACTTGCTCCTTGTTGCTTCCTCCTGGTTCCTGGGCTTTTGGTGGTGCTTGGTTCATGCCTTCAACTCCCTTTCTGCAGCTGCAAATGAAATTCCTGAACTTGCCTTTCCTCTGCAGCTGAAGCTGAAATTCTCACCAGGCAGCAGGACTCTCCGGGGCGGACAAACACTGGCTATGGTGAGAGCTGGGTTGAGAGGGAGGCCTGCACACAGACCCCTGCATGCGTTGAGGGCCTGGCCCTTCTGGCTCTTGTAAACCATTTCCACTGAAATTGTGAGGGTTTTAATTTCTTATTGATTTATTTTTTTGCAATAGCTCCTGTCTGTCTTTGGTCTGGTCCACTTCCTTCAAAGGCAGGAAGAAGTCCCGTTCATCCCCTTGCTGGCTGGGATAAGAGACTGGCCTCCCTCTGGGGTAGGGACTGCGATGCTGAGTGCCTTGTGCCAACCGCGGGGAAGAGCTGTGCTGCTCTGGGGAAAGCCGCTGCTGGAGCTGGGTCCAGTCTGGACTGCTTGAGTTCCCGCAGGCATGGCTGGCTTAAGGACCAAACTCCTTTACTAGGAAACTGAGGCACGCTTGACTCCTAGCAGCAGGACACCTGGCTGGCAGAAGAGGTAAGAAGTGTCTGTTTTAAAGCTGTTGGATGCTACTTCATGTGTAGGTGTTTCAATTTGCATAGAAATTTGGGAGCAGAAGCTCCAGGGAGTTGCAATCCCAG